AACATCACTCTCTGTCTCCTCGACGATTTGGCATCAACGTCTTGGTCATCCATCTCCCTCCGTTCAACGCAATATCCTGGCTTCTACCAATGTGTCTGCTATACTATCTACAATAAATTCAGCCTGTGACTCTTGCTTGAGTAATAAAAGTCATAAGCTTCCTTTTACTAAGTCTTCTATTTCTTGTAGTGCTCCCTTTCATTATGTGTATTCAGATGTTTGGGGTCGTGCTTCAATCACCTCATTTGGTAATTTTAAATATTATGTCATCTTTATAGACTAATTCACCAAATATGCTTAGTTTTATCCATTAAAACTCAAATATGAAGTTTATCATATTTTTGAGAAATTCTGCCATGTGATTGAAATTTATACACTGATGGAGGTAGTGAATACCGATCCCTCTCTCCTCTTTTGCATAAACTTGGAATTCAACACATGGCATCTCCACCTTACACTCCCGAGCACATAGGTTCAGCCGAACGAAAACATTGTCACATAGTCGAAACAGGACTAACACTCTTACATAATGCAAGCATGCCTTTAAAATTCTGATCCTATGCATTTCAATGTGCCACATATCTCATTAATCGCATGCCTACTCCTGTCTTGAATAATGACTCTCCATATCTTCGGCTCTTTCAACAATCACCGTCCTATGTTTCTCTTCGAGTCTTTGGTTGTCTCTGTTACCCATGGCTAAGACCATATGCCAAAAACAAGCTTGAACCCCACTCCCGTCCTTGTGTTTATCTTGGATTCTCTATCTCCTCTCACTCCTATATGTGCCTCGATCCATCTACTAACAAAATTTTCTTCTTTCGTCATGTTGTTTTTCAAGAAAATGCCTTTCTCTACAAACGCACCTCTTCTATTGCTTATATCCTTCATACCAAATCAATGATCTTCTCAATGAATTTACTCACTCCCAATCATCTTCATCACCGGCCTCTTCAAATATGTCATCCAACTCATCTCCCACAGACTTCTCGCCACCAGAAATTATACCTCTCACCTCTTTATCACCAAATGTTGCACCAGCATCGCCGCCAAGGATCAATGCTTCACCCCCATCCTCACAAGTACGTCCCTCTCCATCCCCACCTCTCTCTACTGCACCTCCTCGAATGGTTACTCGTGCCCGAAATAATATTCATAAGCCAAAAGAATTTTTTAATCTAAATACTTCACTGTCACCACAATCCACGTCTTTTGAACCTACTTCATTTCCCCAAGCTCGAAAACAAGCTCACTGAAAAGAAGCCATGAATGGTGAATTTTCAGCCCTTCAAAAGAACCATACATGGTCCCTTGTTCCCTACTCCCCCACACAAAATATTATTGGCTGCAAATGGGTATATCGAATTAAGAGAAATCCCGATGGATCCATTGCCCGCTATAAAGCTAGATTGGTTGCTAAAGGGTTTCACCAGCGCCCTGGAATCGACTTCACGGAGACTTTCAGTCTCGTTGTCAAACCTACTACAATACGGCTAGTTTTGTCTATTGCCGTAACTCGTGGATGGCCCCTACATCAACTAGATGTTAACAATGCATTCCTTCATAGAACACTCTCTGAATCTGTCTATATGCAGCAGCCACCTGGCTTCATTGATGCTCAATATCCGACTCATGTTTGTAAGTTACACAAAGCCATTTATGGTCTCCGCTAAGCTCCTCGAGCATGGTACAATGAGCTTCGTAAATTTCTTGTGGCTTATGGCTTTACTCAATCTCAAAGTGATGCTTCTCTATTTATATATATACAAGGTACTAACATTCTGTATTTGTTAGTATATGTCGATGACATTATTCTTACAGGCAGTAGCTCTTCACTCATTGGCACCTTCACTGCTCAACTATCATCCTGCTTCTCTCTCAAAGATCTTGGTCATCTACACTATTTCTTGGGGGTGGAAACTACTCGCACTTCCAAAGGTCTTTTTCTTTGTCAACACAAGTATATTGTGGACCTTCTTGAAAAGACAAAGATGCTTCAGTCTAAGGAAATGCACACACCCATGACTCCTACCGTGATGCTTAAATTGAAAGATGGTTCTCCCACGTTTAATTCCACAGAGTATCGTCAAGTGCTTGGGTCTCTCCAGTATTTGTCACTCACTCGGCCTGACATTAGCTATGCCGTCAACAAGCTCAGCCAATTTATGCATCAACCAACAACCAATCATTGGTTAGCTGTCAAGCGTTTTCTACGATATCTTAAGGGTACCTCTCACTATGGGTTATTCCTATCCTCTACTTCTCCACTTAAACTTCATGCCTTTGCCGATGCTGACTGGGCGAGTGATCCTGACAGCCGTCGATCCACTTCTGCTTATGTAGTATTTGTTGGATCAAATCCTATTAGTTGGAGTTCCCGCAAACAATCTACGGTAGCTCGTTCCTCTACCGAAGCTGAATTTCGTGTCGTTGCCTCTACTACTGCTGAAGTTAATTGGATTACAAATTTGTTACATGAGCTTGGTATCTCTTCGCAGTCATCTCCGGTCATTTACTGTGATAACATTGGAGCAACTTACCTTTGTTCCAATCCAGTATTTTATTCACGCATGAAGCATGTGGCCATCGACTTCCATTTTGTCCATGATCAGGTGCAACGTAATCTACTTCGTGTATCTCATGTTCACACGACAGATCAATTTGCCGACTCTCTCACTAAGCCCCTAGGTCGTCAACAATTTCTTCAGCATCGCTCCAAGTTTAGCATCCTTCCAGGACCCTTGCGCTTGCGGGGGCATGTAAGATGATAAGATGGAATTGATTGTCCGATATCATCAGCCCATGATTCTCTCGATCATAGCATTCAATCATGCATAACTTTCTCAATCATTTCTTAATTGTACAGATATATATGTAGACAGGAATCATGTTTTATTCATTTAGATACTTGTATATTTATAGGATGTAATCTCTGTAAGAACAATTATAATGGAATGCAAATACTCAATTAGCTCCATTACACATAAGAAAAACTCTACCTTGTTAAACTATTACTAGGTCCCTACGACTTTCAAGATCAACCGTACATTGATAGGGTAAAGTTCCGTAGCCATTCCTCATTGATCATGGCTCTGTATTTTATTGTGAAGTTTTGAGGATTCATTCCATCTTTGATTTCTACGAGAAGGAATTTGTAAATGTTCCATCCAGGTAACACAACACTTCAAATTTGACCTTTGTTTCAGCGCTCACGAGTCTAATTGCTACTAGAAAAAGGCCAAAACAAAGGCCCATGAAAGTAATAGGCCAGGCCTTATTACTCTATTATCCCTGGTCCATGATAAGTTGGATCAAAGAAAAGAAAAAGAAGGTGAGCCGGACTCCATAGGCAATATGGACCTTTTCAAATTTCAATTCCTCTTTCTGTAATGTACCGGGACTAGATTGTTCCCAAATAATAGTCCAGGGGTTTAATTGTAAACCAGGAAACTGTATTGACTATAAATAGTCAAACATAGTCTGAAAAACATAATAAAAAATATGAGTATTGAAATGAAATGTTGATTTCTCTGTTCTTCTTCATCGTTCCCAACTTCTGAAACTCCGGTTTTCCCTTCCAATCAGTTCGCCAATCCCCGATGTTTGACACTTTCCGCTCCATGGGATTTTCCTTGATATTTTCCCTTGTGATGTAATAATGGAAACTGTAAGAATTATTTTTGAAGTAAAAAAGAAGAGAAAACGTAAAAAAATGTAACAATCAATAATCTATTTTCTCCAAGAAATAAAATTCAATAAACTCCTGTCCCATTTAGATTTTCACTTTTAATAGAATTAATATTAAAAATAAAAATCTAAATAGAAGAATTTATGCGAGACAAAGAGAATAATTATGTGTGGATTGTAATCATTGTTTGAAAAGTGAAAGCAATGCTAAGAAAAAAGATTTCAATAATTCAAATATGAACAGATCAAACAGATTGAAAAGAAGTAGTACTTCTATAACAAGAATCAACACCATACTTCGCATGCGATTCAAATGGAAGGATCAGTGGCATTAAACTTATCCGAGAAATTTTTACTCTCTCCGTTTGTTATCGAATTTATATTTTAATTTTTAGTTTAAACTGGATAATAATTTCGGGATAGATGAAGTATTACCTAAAACAAATTAGAATGTTATCCATAGCTTTTGTTTTTCCAAGTTTTAGTTTCTCTATGGTAAGAATGAAAAGACTCTTTCTTTGAACTTGTCCTAAGCTTATGTAGCTTTCAGTGTGTGCTCTTCTCTTTACAAATAGCCCTACTGTTTTGACCTGTTTCTTGTCTCCTTTTCTTTAGCAGATTTAATCCAGATAAAGTATAATAAATCTTGTACACAAGGGTGTCAATCGTATCGTGTTTCAAGTTCGCAGGTCGAGTTCGACACGAGCACGAATTTTAATATACTAACACAAACACGATCTATTTAGTTATATGGGTCAATTTTTTGAATCCGAATACGATTTCATATTAACACGAATGACCCGACATGACACGAAATTACCCAAAAATAATTTAATTTGCATTTAATTAAAAGAATACATGTTTAGAAGATCTTAACTAAATAACCGGAAATTTAATTTATATTTAATTAACAGAATACATGTTTAGAAAAAACACTAACTAAATAACTTGGAATTTTTAATGGAAAAAAAGATAATTACGTGAAATTAAATTTTAAATACTATTAAGTTAAAGTTTAAAGATTAAATAGACTAGTCTCATCCACGGCATAAAAACCAAATTAAACGGTGAAAATTATAAAACTATTTGTCCACAAATTTGTATCTCATAAAAAATATCTAAAATGGCAAAGAAAAATATTACATGTTACGAGAAATCAATAATATTCTTCGACTCGTTTTGTTAAACGTGTTTGTAGGTTCGACCCGATTTTAACACGAACACACCAGAATTCAACTCTAAATCAGCTAATTACGTGTTAGGTTCAAGTCGTGTTTTCGTGCCGTGTCCAAAATTGACACCCGACTTGTACGCCAAGCTCTCGATGGAAGTTGGATGAATCTCAAGTTGCTTAAAAATGCAACACCAACAATTTTTTTCAAAGAAGTCTAATAGGCCCAACTTATTCAAAGCTGTCCATTTCAAGAGATTGAGCAAAACCTAATCCTGTTGTACTGGGCTTTTGTTTTTTAGCAGCTAACAAAAAGTGTGACGATGTGAATATTAATGCGATTATAGTCATGTTCGGTTTTCTTCAGATGGCATAGTGAGGCATATTCGGTCTTTTTCCCTACTTTTTTTTCCTTTTGGTTCTGTCTTTTTGTGTTGCCTTTTCTTGGAGAACCGAAGGTGGAAGAGAGTGAAAGCATTTTACTTGAGAATTGGGAAGAATCTGTCTTGTTACACCAGAAAAAAAGTTGCAAGAATTGGCACTAGAATAAACACAACTTGTGCATATTGATGAGAACTACACATCATCCAGTCACCTCTCCACTTGTGTGTGAACTAAACCAATTTCAAAATGATACCTCCATTACTTATATAATTACACACACACACACACACACACACACACACACACACACACACACAACTAATGACACATAATCGATTCGTTCCAGCTCATAAAATGAAACCATCATAATTCGGTCCATTTAACAACATTCACTATTTCCCCTCAATCATTAGTGTTACAGAAGGGTTTTTCCCATAGATGAACATCTCTTCCTCCAGCAAAGCAATTCATAAGAGTGTCTTTAGAAACAGAAAGAACAACGAAAGAAAAATGGTTCACGATGGCAAATCCTGACCTTGAGCCAAGAGAGCATTACGGTTTAACAGCTGACAGGATGTATTGTTATAGATTTGACAGCCTTGCTATACCATGATAGTACATGAGTCAAATACCAGAACAGAAAAGAAGGAACAATGATCATTTTCAGCGTATAATCAGACATGCTTCACCACAATCAGTCAGCATTTCTCATACATATGTCCCTAACACCTAACAAGCATGCAATCCACAGAAGGGCAGAACCTAGATTCAAAATCTCAAATCTTCCCGAGCAGATATGATAGAGATATATAATCAGCAGACTAAGCACCAGCGAAGGTAGCACTTGGCACGTATTCAACAAGTGAAACAAAACTAGATACCTCCTCAGGGGGGTTTATTCCCAAAATGTATGAAATGCAAATAGACAGAACCCAGTTCAATTTTCATGCCAATCACAATTAACTGATACCTAACAGATACTTCTTTCTAAAGCTGCAGGGCCCAGATACCATATCTCTTCCAAGTTCACTGGCTAAAAAAAAATAAAAAATGTTCTCTAAAATTACTGGTAACAGCAGTCTTAGTCTTGCTTACAGAGGGGAGTGTTCCTTCTATGTAGAAACTTATTATTAAGTAACCACGTCAACAACTAAACACAGTGCCATGATATCCTTGTCTAGGACAACTGTCTGTTCAATTCTTAAACCTTTTGCAATATATATCAACTGAAGAAATGGAAGTTTCATGAACACAAACAGGATTCTTAAGGACTGTCAGATGTGATATGATCACCTCAGAAGATCTGAATCAAAATAAACCATCAAGCTAATATGAGCTCTAAATGGAGCAAGGCGATGTAAATACATCATTCAAGAAGATCCTCAAAAGACAGCTGTGCATGCAATAACCATAAGGTTGAAAATAAACTACTGCAAATCACACAGTTAATGATAAAACTAATCACTAATCAAGCAAAAGAAGTTGCCCAAGAGTTACATGCACTCTAACAGACACTGAACTCCGGCATAGGTCAATAAATTCTCATGAGCTTGCAATATCAGAAAGAAATAATAAATAAATAAATAAAAATCCACTTTCAAGTTCAGGCCATGGTTACCACTTGACATGCCATAGAATTCTAGAGTTTCCAACACAAATGAACAATTCATCAACAGATGGAGGATGGTACTCGTGCTAAATCACAACCAGAGTAAAGTAACACACTTCAAAAGGTTAAAAAGAATTGCAATGAAATGGTTTCTACAGAGATTCCATTTATCAATCATCAATTCTGTGATGCTACACTGGGAAATCAAAGAAAACAATATGAACCTAGAACTCCATAAGTTGAGCAATTGTAATACACCTGTTTACTAGAAATAAACAACAATGGAAACGTTACAAAGAGCAAATTGCTCGGCTGAATAGCCCATTAATTCGAAAAATAAATGTAATACATACATATGCCCTGCTCCCAGAGAACAACCACCTAGCATCCTTATTCTCTCCCCTTGGAGACAGTGAAGCAAATAAGGATAACAAAGCTCCAGCATTCTAAAGTTGTTCATTTTTCAGAAAAGCTCCAGCAACTGCCAAAGGAAACCTACCAATGTATTGTTCCGGTGAAGTTATTTAACTATCTCTTTTGCCTGTGTTAATAAAAATGGGGTAAAAAAATTCCAAGGAAAGAAAATATAGATTGAAGCTATGAAAAATGTGCTCAAGATTTCCTTCCGAAAGAAAACATACTGTTGAATCTTGAGTAGAATCTGCTAGTCCCCCCTATCCTTCCTCCCCCCACTTGGAATAGGAAAAATCAGATTAAAAAGAGTTGGGATTAATTACCCATAAACAAGAATCCTGTGCCATTTAACCAATGTTGTATCTGTTAGCAAAGGCACCATTCAAGTACACATAGTGCCACCATGATCCAGTTACTCAACATCCCATTACAGCACAATTGTACACAAAACTTCCACTTTGCTTTCGGCCAAGCAAGTTCCACTGCGGTGGACCTTCACTCGGAGCCCATGAGTTGACTTCGATGAAGCCTTCACCCATGTTTCTTGGTCCACCAATTACAATGAGCTTGTCGCCACAGGCCCTAAATGCCAAGCCCCAACCATTCATTGAATCGGCTCGTTCTGGCAACCTACCAACTGTATTCCATTCCTTATTCTGTTTGTCATACTTCCTCACTGCCATGTCAGCATAATCAGCAGCATACAGTTCATTATTTACAACTGCAACCAAAGGTGGTGCTTCTGATGTAGCAGGTGTGTCAGCATCCCTAGCTGCTCGTACAGGGGACATGTTCGGTATTTCGGTCCAAATCTTCTTTTCCAAATCATACTCCTCACCACATGTGAGAAGCTTCGATTCAGTCCCACCAATACCCCCAATAACGTAAAATTTTCCATCCATGAATACCCCAGAACACATTTTCCGTGGTTTGTTCATGCTAGGAAGTGAGGTAAAAGTTCCCATTTCTGAATTATACAGCTCGGCAGAACTAAGTATAGTTCCCTGAGAGTCACAACCACCAGCTAAAATTGCAATCTCACCAAGGCTAGCAGAACCAAACAAACATCTCGGTGCATGCATACTCATCCCAGATGTCCAGTTGTTTGTCAATAAGCTGTAGCGATAAATGACATGAGCCATCACTTCCTTTCCAAAAACAAGAAGCTCGGTGCCAACTGCAAGCGACTCTTTGTCAGAAAAGACAAAACATTCATTGGGATTCATTGTTGGTAAATGCATCCAACGCCGTCGAGAAGGATCAAATGCTTCCCATTCGAGCAGCTGGCAGGAAAAATAAACCCAGTGCTCAACCACACCATTCTGCCGCCTCAATCTGTAAAGCTCACCGCTCCTAATTAAGGAGCGAAAACTCCTATTCAATGATGCAATTGCACCATAATCTGACCTTGAACAATGAATTAGACAGCTAATTGAGTTATCTCTTCCAATTGCAGAGATCAGGGAACTTGTGTCATTATTACTTCCAGCTTGTCGCTGACTATCAGATTGTTCTTCTGGGGATAAAGATATATCCCGAAAAGCAAGCACCGTTTGTATACTTTCTTCGCCGTCTGAGAGCTTAGAAAGCTTTCTGGCAGTTTCTTCTTCCTCCCCTTCATTTTCCAGTGGTCGCTTCACATGCAGTACTTCTAGCCTGTAATTCATGCAGGCCCAGCTTTCAATTTCGCAGGTCCTTGGATAGTCCCTGGAAACCAAACAGGACCTTTCCTCCAACATGTCTTCAAGGATCAAACCAAAAGAAAGATCTTTCAGGACCTTGGCTGACACAGAAGACGTCTTCACAGGACCGGATCCACTGCAGAAATTCCGCAACAAAAGTCCCAAAAAATCCATAAAATTTATGTCAAAAGAATATAAACAATCTCAAATAGAAAGGCTCCAAAAGCTTTAAAGATCAAGGGGGGAACACAAAGATAACAGCTGTTTTAGTCAGTGAACATGAATGGAAATGATAAGCTCAAAATTAGCAACTCCGGATCAATTTCTCAGTAACAACACTCACAAGAATAAACGCCAGCTAGAAATTCAAAGTAATCAACACCAAACTCAATAAACCAAAAAGGGGAAATTTGATGAGAACCTTATAGGTTTAGAATAATATCCACAACTCAGCTGATCCAAAACGATCTACATAGAGGGAAGCATGAATAAAAATCCAATCTTGGAATCAAGACCAATAACTATGAACGCCAGAAAAGCTCCCCAGCACATCAAATTTCCACATTATTTGAGCACCCCAGAACGGAAAACAGCATCAAAATCGAGACTTATGATCGAAAAATAAAAAATATAAAGTTAAGCTAAAAAGACTCAAACTTGCAGAGCCCAGATCTCTTAAATTCGGATCAGATAAAAACCCGGAAAGGAAGATATCAAAAAAATACAATCAATCAAGGTAATCTCGCATTGCTCCAATAAACATGCGGCCCAATTAGATCTATCAATCAAGCTAATCCGAGCCCAAAACCAATTACAATACCCTTTCCTTGACTGCAAATACTGATAAAAAGCACAAGCAGAGCTCAAAAACTCTCAAAGGTAAGACCAATTAATTTGCAGGTCAGAATACCAAACTGAACACAAAAATGGGAAAAAGGAAAGAGGACTTACGGATTGGATAGCTGGGAAGGGACTTGATTGGAAATATGTGAAGAGATAGAGCAGTCCCCCTTTCTTCCTTTCTATAAGATATAGAATATATATATATATATAAATTTATATAGATAGATAGTATTGTGTGTGTGTGTGTGTGTGTATAAAAACCTGTGTTTTGGGCTCTCTTTTATTTCTTTTTTTTCTGCCCCTTCTGTGTAAATGAAGAATGAAAAAGATACAAAGAGAAAGAGATGATGATGATGATGATGATATAAGAGATTAAGTGAAGCAGTTCCAGTTCTTGGCGTTCTGGCTTGGCATTCTTCTCTTACTACTGATTCTCTTTCTTCACTCTCTCTCTTCCTATCAAGACAGGCTTTGAGGCATAATCTTGCACTTTGGACTGCTGAGGACCCCCACCCTTTATCCCTCTCTCTCTTCTCTGTTTTACTTTTGTTGTTTTTGCCAAATGGAATTTTACTACTGCAAAACTTACCAACTAGTTAACTTATGTCCATATTTAGACACATAACTGTCTCTTCTTATTTGTTGTTGTTTTTCCACATTTCAACCCAAAACCAGAAATTCCAGGAAAATAAGAAAAAAAAATCTCAGTAAAAAAAAAAAAAAACCATCTGGGCTCATTTTTGAATGTGCGCTGGAGTTCATTAAATTGAAGATTGGGGTAAATTTTGACCAAGTAGACAGCCTCATGTGTTGGGATGGATTCGGTGAGTTTAAAAATGTACCATGTGTTTTGACGAAATTGACATCTAGTCCACGCAGTAAATGTAATTGTTGACACGTTTTCTTCCGCATATATACTATATAACTATATAACTATAGTTAGATTTTATTCCGTTTTTTTTCACCGAATATACAGCTTGATCTTGTTATTACAATATCTCATTCTTATTTTTTACATAAACTCTGTGGTACCGTATTTTTGCTTTATTAATATTAATCTAGTTATCTTATTAATACACATTTGTTTGCCACTTTCTCAAACAATTTGTTTTATAAACAAGAACATTTGCATTCAAGTGTTGAAAGAATATATTACACACAAACACTTTTCTCTGAGATCCAATAGAATTTTAAAGATACATAATTATTCAGATAACTATTTTGTTAATGTGAATTATGATTGCCAAGTTCATCATTGAATCTTGGTATTAGGCAAAAGAAAAGATATTATTTGGTTTTCATTGCCCAAGGATTAAATATAAAAATAATGAAAAGTGATAGAGACGTTAAATTTGGGAGATAAGTCCAACTTAATCATAGTTAGAGAGACTCCAAATTGTTTAAAAAAACCGACCACAATGTTTTTTTATTTTGACTAAAAACAAGCAATATATACCCTTTTTTCAAAAAAAAAAACAAACAAACAAAAATGAATGCATAATTTGGTCTTATCGGAAATTTCAAAAGAGGAACGAGCTACCCATTTTCTTGCCGCCGAGTTGTTGATGAGTAATAAAATTCTAAATGTTATACGTTATAGAAATTCATTTTAAAAATGAAACATAACGCATTTGACTGGTCTAGTCAACATCCTTAAAGCGTCGGGTAAAGTAGAAAATGGCGAATACAACCACATGTTGTTTGCTAATTTACTAAACTAATAAACTGAAAAATGTGATAAATTTTATGAATAATACTTTCATTTTGTTTTCCCACGTAAGCATAAGGAAGAGTGGGAGAATTGAGTTGTTTGTGAAATTAAGGTGTGGTGGAACTTTATTTACATTTTAAGTTTAGTGAATTTAAGTACTCTCTCCGATCCATAATTATTGTCCAGTTTGGATTTTTATTGTTAGTTTAAATTATATTAAAAGTGAAATCTCAAACTGGACAATAATTTTGGAATAGAGAGAGTATATATATGCACCAACAATCCCATTTCAAAAACAAAAAACTAAAATGCGTTATCATTGATTTTAAAAGAGTACCACAAATCAAACTACTAAAAATGCATCTCGTGTTTTATCGAACCATCGATCTCGTAATAAAATTAATCTCGAATGTAACCTACGAAAAACAAATGAAAAAAAAAAATGCTCTTCCTGATTCATTAATGAAATTTAACTTGAAATCGCGTTTTATACAAGTAGAAAGGGAAAATGTATTTTCGTTGTCCAAAATAAAAAACCATAACAGACGAAATAAACAGGGGGAAGGGAAATGCGCAAATCGTTTGGAAACTTCCTTCAGCAGCTTTCAGATTCCGCGGGTTGAAGTCGCAGTCAAATTTGGCCCAAACAAACGTTTTATTCCGTCGCACCGCAAGTTCGTTATCCAAACAAAACGTTATATATAATAACACGGAAATCTCTTCCAATAAGTACTGAACTAATTAAATATAAAAACGATTAACACATACTTTCTCTGTCTCTAAATAATTATCATTTTTAAATTCTTATTTTTAGTACAAATTTTATCATAAAAAAGAAGAAACTATTAATACATGTCACGTTCAGTTACTGAATCATGTTACTAGAACTCCGAGAGCGGGTCATTTTGATGATAAGTATTGACCCGTAGAGAGGGGTTGCCTTTTGTAGTACCTTTGAAAGCTGCAAAACGTTGGAAAAAAAAAGTACACAAAAAACATGGTTCGAAATCTGGGAAAGAGATGACCACATGAAAGATGAAAGAATTATTAATAGGGAGAGAGAGAGATAGAGTGAAAGGGCAACAAATTTAGAAAAAAAGGAGGAGCAGTACTACTAGTTAGTAGCAGTTGACACGGAATTTTTTTCCCACACTCCAATCACGTGAATTTTAAAGACTATTACTACCAGTTGGTTCTGAGATCTTTTGTACTATATGTCCGTCTGTTTATTACTATTAATATTCATTATATCTTCTTGGCGGCGCCTATTTTTATTTGTACATTAGCACCAATTTTTGTTGTTACGAAAATAAGTACATTAGTACCAGTATGATCTTAATGAATTTTTTTCTTTTTTTTGTATGTGATGCATTGTATTGTACAAGAAAAAACAAATAAAGAGTATACGTAATCCACAGCTAGGATGATTCAAGATGTTCTTGGAAAGGTGCATATTGGATTTTACATCTCTTGTGTACGTACTTTGTTTGTGAAATGATGTAAGTATATCAAAGCAAATTTATCCCATTCCGTACTCTTTCATGAAAATTCATAAAGGAAAGGGATCTATAGTTAGTAATGTTGGATTTCTATTCATACTACACCTTCCATTTCAAAATGTAAATTATTCTAGAAAATGTTACACGTAAACTAAGGAAATAATCATTCAATAATTAATTTCTGTGTTAAATATCTATTTTTATCTCAGATTAATTACATTGGAACTATAGAATACAAATAAGATTAAATAAAAATGAACTGGCATCATTTATTGAGGGTAAATTCAGAAAAATAGTCATTAATTTGCCTTGAAATACTACAACGACTCATTTGAAAAGTTTCTCTAAATCTAAAACCACTTACATTTTGAAATGGAGGGAATATAAATTATATTAAAACTTGAAAATTTAAACTGGACAGTTATTTTGAAATAAAGAAAATAAATTTGTATGAAGCAAAAATTTCATCATTTGTCTTAATTAGTACTCTTCTTATATTGGAATAAAATGTAACATGTAGTCTTATTAAGATGATTACACCTTTTTTTTATATAGGTATACAGTATAACAGTATTCCAATTAATTCGGTTAAGGTCAATATAGCTTTAACAAATACTTTTGTCCGAATCGTGAAAAATAGTACTGTAAGATGTATCGATGACCAAGTACAATAGAAACTTGTACTACTAGGAGTCCTATGAAAGAAATTCGAGAAGTGCATTGCTGACAGCTTTAGACGATGTGCAAAATTCATCTGCAAACTTCCGTATTGCTTTAGACACTGTTCGTGTGCACAAACATACAGAGAGTGGTTAGATAAAATAGATTCTGAACAATCATTTCGTCTTTCAATTGTACACAAACTAACTTTACAGTTACACCAATAGGGTCAGGCTTCAAACTTCGAACTTTCTTTGCCTATAATATATCAGTATCACCATGAAAATTTTTTAATCATCACCCTATTCTGCCTATCTTTTGTCTCTTTCTTTATTCATGCAAAATTACTTTTCCTTTTCATAGAAATCAGAATGGATTTTTTTGGGGAGGTAGTTTATTATTTATAGTTTATAATTTTTGAAGTGCTAAAAATGTGTTAAGGGTCAATCACCAAAAAGCAAGTACTAAACACACCCAATGGGGGTGGTGTTCTTGGTCATCTTTGATTAATTATATGATCGACTCCATTGATGTGATCACATTTTTTTTTTTGGACCTATTAGGCGCCTCCCTAATCACTATAGAACGATTTTTTTTTTTCTTTCCTTCTTTTTTTTTTTTGTTTTTCCCTTTTTGTGTGATATATATTATAAGTTTTGAAAGTTATTTGGAGGAATTTTGTGGATGGTACCGTCTTGTTCATCACAACTTGCAATTTTAATAAATTATAAATCAGGATGATACATGGCAAACACGTCTCGATTTTACAGAGTAATTGATTAAAAATTATAAAGAATTACAAAAAGGCAGTGCATGAGCATCACACACTTGAGATATTACTATTTCTCATTTGGTTAAACTTGTTGTCTAATTGATTAATAATTGGTTGGAGGAGGGACGCAGCTGACCAGATGTCGATTTGGTAATAATCAACTCATTAAACTAAGTTATCAAACCCTCTCTAAAAAGGATTGTTGGGGAGATTGGCAATCCTGTGTGAGGCAGCATGATGTGTGTCGTTATCCACATTTGTGAAAATGACCATTATCCAACTTCAGGATAATTAACCTTTTACCAATCACCCCCCAAAACAAGAAATTTTGAATCGCGATCATATATGAAACTTGTATTGTCCACAATTACGGTGAAAAGGAAAACGAAAAGTTGAACATTATCCTTTCCATTCATAAACTTATTTCCGCATCTACTAAAATTACATTCAAAAATTTTATATCGTATATATTTTGTATCGTATCAGACTTTTACATATAATGTTATTCGTCTTATTAGAAAAAAGATAGATCAATTTATTTATTTTCAAATAATTTTTGAAAGTATCAACAATATTATATTTCAACCACGACTTCGTCCCAAATGTTAGATTGTTTGACTATTGCAAAGCTGGAAGCAGTTGAGGAAGATTATAAGTGCGGAGCAATTTTGTTTAAGGCACATGTGAAACAATACAGTTCGATAAAATACGGCTACAAAAAAGGTGTTCCAAATAAGTGGTCCGACCGACTTCTCATGCCGTGTCTAACATTGTCTGATCCAACGACCTTTGTTTTTTTTTTCTAATCTAAAAACACATCTTTAATTTTCTTTTTTCTTCTTAGGCAACGTCGTTTAATTTGACCATCTCGATGTTAAAAAGTTTTTAGCTTTTCTTCTTTCATAATTCAAAAAAGAAAAATATAAAAGCGGAAGTATTATGATAAAAAAATAAATTATATTCTTGTTTAATCAATGTTCTGTGTCTTTTACTTTTAATCTTTGGCTTTTGGCCTCTCAATAGTGGCCAAACTAAGCTAACCAATCGACAGCTGGAGAATGAAGATAATGCTCTTAATTAGTCGTGTCAGCTCCGATCCCACACTAAAATACAACTCAATAAAATAAAAAAAGATTAAATTAATTTTCTGATTATTTTTTCCCTTCAATAACTGCTAGGGTTTATCATATATACTCCGTA